ACGCACTAAGCACAAAAACGGGAGAGACGAGAAACTGCGACACCGTTGGCAGAAGGAAGAATGGAGATAAATATGTGGAAATAATATAAACAAAATGTTACCTCTAATTTATCATATGAATAATTCATTTTCAAACATTGATTAAAGCCAATCTTAAAATGATTAAACAAACGCCTGTTTGAGACTCCTCAGTGCACACAAAAACATAACTTGGAGAAATAAATAAATACGGATATAATATCTAATATGTTATTTAAAACCACCTCGAATATGTTGTGTTAATGTTATGAAATGTTTTCTCATAAATGATGCGGTTTTGCATTTCTATAGGTTGTACGAGCATGGTTTTATATACTACCATGTTTAATCATGTTTCATGCCGTTTGCTAAGACTTGATAAGTCGCTCATAAAACACAAGAGGTATGGAAACTAAGAACACCATATATGGTCAATAGACCTATCGCTAAACCACGCCCCAAATATAATTTGTCCAATCATATCACAGCGAAAATCCTTCCTGACAGAAAACTCGGACATCACCAGAAAAGCCGATCGAAACCACTGTGAAGAGTTCAGTTTCTATGTTTATTATCTAGCTAATATCTGATGGTGAAACGCTGTGCGTGGGGTACCTGTAATTTCGGACACCAGGTACCCTGAAAGACTGGATGGAGGAGTATATTTCGTACCTTTTCCGAAGCCCAAAAGAAAACTCGACAAATGCAAGCGGTGGATTATGCTGTGTCGTCAACCACATACACAACTGAATGTGAAGACAATTATCAAGGACACTTATGTTTGGTCAAAGGTAAGGTCAATTCATAAAGACATCATATTTGACGGTATGTATTAGAAACGTAGACCAAACTATTAGTTTGCTAACGATTGACTTTGACTGCCAACTAGCTAGCGTATATCCAGCCCAGCTAGCTAACGTTAGCTGCCAACTTGTTAGCCAGCTAACTAGCTACAGTGTTATCAACATCAACGTTTGCTGTCTGACTTTTCGTCCTCGCTAGTTAGCTGGTGTTTTTAGCTAACTTTTGCTAACTGTCTTTTCACCTCAAAGCACTTCAGAGATGGGAAGCCAACTCTGGAATATCAGATCCCATCCGGGCTCTCGTGTGTGCTGCTCCGAAAAGACACAGACCCTCACCCAAAAAAAGGTAACGCTACAGTCAGCCAGGTGCATAACAGTGAAAATGATGACCAACAAGGACAGTTATAGTTATAGATTTAATGTAGTGACCACCACTGCTAACATTCAACATCATATTATCATTTCAATGGTTACACAACAGTCACCACTACACACGACAGGCAACAAGATTAGATATTTTATATAAAGAAATACATGGCTACCTTTTTACTCTTGCTTTTAACTGTTAACTTTCATCTGCTGTTACTTTTATTAGCTCTTGCTTCTATTTTAATGTTATTTTAACTTGAACTCCCCCCGCGGCCATTGTCAAGAGTCATTCACGGTCGGCTTTGTTTGTCCGAGTTTTCAAAGGGGGCGTGGCTTAGCGATAGGTCTATTGTACAGCTAATATAACACAACACATTAGTTGTATTTCCTTTAACTGGTGGATATAGAGTTGCTGCAGTGGAGAAGCTGCGCACAGCTGATCGACAGCTGGGACACAAACCATACGAAAACATAATTCAGATCCAGTCGTCATGACTCCACTCCGGAGGGATTCCCCAATAATTTCTTACAGTCTCTCATCAAGGGGGTGTCTCCTGTCCCCGGTACAAACACACTGCCTGAGGAAGGCTATGTGTATTTTTTTTGTCATGAACCTTTTTCGGACCACTTATTTATTTATTTTGGTGACGATCCGACCTCCATGCTGCTGGTTCAAACTGCATCCACCAAACAATATGATTTATCTCGACCTCCCCAAAATAACCAAAATCTGACACGGTGTGAGATGTCTTTTTTAGCTGTTCTGTCGTCATTTCCTGCTATCTTCTTCATAAAGTCAGTCAAAATGAATGAATGAATGGGCGTTTCTTTGACTATTTATAGGCAAATATGGGCGTTACGTGAAGCCCGCAAAAGCTGCACCGCATTTCAAGTCGGTTGTGATTTATAAAGGGAAACCGGCGTAGGAAGTGCTGTACGCAATGTTTGGTGAATCGGAAAATGTTGGAACATTTCTGTACCTATTTTTTGGATTTCTACTACGTAAGCAACCTTCCCACGTGAGTAGTATTATTCATACTGTTTCGATCACATTAGTATGCATTAAAAGTGACAGATGACACGCCCCCAATTATGCAAATGATCTAAGTCCCGCCTCCCATTGTTCGAGATCCTTTGACTGTTGTCTTCATTATAGAGCCCCTCCTTCAACACACATGAACGCGCACATGACCAAAGAGGGCACGAGATAAGTTTGTGCACAGATCTTCGGCTGGAGGCGTCTGAACCCCGCACAGATGCTGCATTCGTTTCTTGACTGGCGCTCCGGACGGATGGCGGTAAGTTGTCACAGGCGTCTCGCTGATTAAACCCATATCGAGTCATCTCTTGGCCATTTTTCTTTTTTGAAAGGTGACTTGGTGAGTGGAAATGACTGTCTTTTTATTTAATTTGAGCGTATTTCTATTTTCACCTAATTCCACCTGCTGGCCTCATAGCCAAAGGAAGGGGTGGAGAAAGGGGGAGAGGCCTGGGCTGTGAGGGGGCGGGGGGCTAGACAGTCTCACGCATAACTTCAAAGAGACACCTAGATTAACATCAGAGGCTTATAACACACCGTGTGAAATCACACCTGCCTGTTATAACACCTCAACCCTCACATCAAAGGGCAAACATCAAAAAGGCTAATTAGATTATACAACTCTGAGGGGACAGGGGACAGACAGTCTCACGCATAACTTCAAAGAGACTGCCTTAATCAACACCTAGATTAACATCAGAGGCTTTTTTCAAACCTACCTGTTATAACACCTCACATCAAAAAGATTAGACTACAAAGGGGTGTGAGGCGACAGGGGCCAGACAGCATAACTTCAAAGAGACTGCCTTAATCAACACATCAAAGGATTAGACAACAAAGGCACTACACAGGGGGGCTTTTCACACCTACCTGTTATAACACCTCACCCCTCACATCAAAGGATCTCGAACAAAGGGAGGCGAGACTTAGCCCATTAACATAATTGTACCCCCTCACATCAAAGGATCTCGAACAATGGGAGGCGGGACTTAGCTCATTTGCATAATTGGGGGCGTGTCACCTGTCACTTTTCATGCATACTAATGTGATTGAAACAGTATGAATAATACTACTCACGTGAATCCTACGCACAGCGTTATAAATAAGGCCCCTGGTCCTTTCATCAGATGGGAAGCGAAAGAACGAGCAAGACCCATTGCTGGTATGATAACAACCTGGTACTAAGCACACAGGCATCTTGTTAAAGTTATCTTATCTTAGCAATCTCTTATTTGGTGGAGGAAAACAATTGTGACATCAGTTATGACATGACTTACGCGACTCTGAGATTTGTAGTCTTTCTAGTTGCGTATTTTTCATAGTCTTATATTTCAACAGTTTTACGAAAAACTGTGACTTTTTTGACATGGAAATGATTTTTTAAGATTGACAAACATCATAGGCTATGTGTAATTCGTAGCACAATTCAAACGTGATCGAAAGATACGTTTTCTCTCTCCATTGACTTGAATACATAATTTTTCCGAAATAAGGTCCCATGTACCGGAAGTAGATGGGCGTGACTTCGCCACTCTATTAGAGTATTGAGAAACCTCTAATGGCGGCTTCACAAAACTTTTCAGAGTTTTACGGGGCGTGGTTTGCAATTCGCCCAGCCAATCGAAATTGGTACTTTTTTCTCCCCAGGATAGTACTACCTCTCTAGCAGGCACTAAAAATGGGGGTAAAAGTTCTCGGAACTATACTCTTTTTGGTATGAACGCAAAATTCCAGGCACTAACCGAACTAAACGGGAAAAGTACGGGGAAAAGTACTCCGATGTGAACGCGCCTATTGTCTCTGTGTTAACTGATTATTTTGTAGAATTCTGTTGAGTATTAAACAATTGCATGAGTGTGAGGGTATTCAAATAAATGTGTCAGTAAGTCAGAGATGGGCAACTATAGGCTATATTTAAGTTTTTGTTTTACATTTTTTTAATAAATGATTATGGGAAGTGCCCTTTTTCTCACTTGAGCTCCTGCCCCCCAAAATGTCTGTGCACGTCCCTGCACACGCACGTGCACACGTGCACACACACACACACGCACACACACACACACACACACACACACACACAGTGTGCTCCTCCTAATAAACACATTTGAAAAGTGGGGGGGACACAAACAGGATTTTGAAAGGTGGGGGGGACATGTCCCCCCTGTCCCCAGTGGAAATTACGCCCATGATGGTAGTAACAATGATATGTTGCTGTTACTGTATCTGATTACTACACTGGACCGATGTGTGGTTGTGTGACTCCATGAAGAGTACATCTTTAATGACTTTATTAGCCTGTATTCAAGGTTTTAGTGTATGATACTTAAAGTACGAAAAGTAAAAAATACTCATTACTCACTATGCAAAATCGATAATCTGAATATTATATATATATTGTCTGTAAATAAAGATGTTTTATGTTTTGATGTGGAGTAAAAAGCATGATATTTACCTCCAAAATGTTGTTGAGTAGAAGTAACCTTGTAAAAAACATAAGGTGGGGAAACCCAGAGAAAAAATGCTTATTGTAACAAATGGCAATATTGGCAGAAAAGGGTGCATTTTCAAATTAACCCGGTTGACTTTGTATATTAAGAACTTGTAAGAGTGTTTTTTTTCATTAGTCTTTAAAATGTTAAACAAATAAAAAAACTGATCTTTAGTCATTTAAATGAAACTATGAAATACCAGGTACATGCTGATTCCAGACACCTAAAATTGGGATGTGTGTGTTTGTGTGTGGGGTTGAGAAAATAAAGACAAGACGCCGGTCCATCCACATGACCAAGACTTTACTTCACAGCTCAGTGCCCATCAACCCCGTACAACACAACATGGGCTCCAACATCCAGCAAACCTTTGCACTGTCAGCAGAATCCAAGCAGGTATAATTTCCTCTCATGGTTAACCCTGTTTTTCTCATGCGTAAAAAACGGGCATAGTGCCAACACATTGGAACAGAAGGTTTAATTAAAGACTTGAAATGTACACTTTGCTTGGCAAGATAAAAAATAAAGATGTCTTTATGGGAAATGATTCTATTATATACAATTCAGAGCATAAATAAAAATAAAAACATCCAGAAAATAGAATGATTAAAGCATGCCCATTGTCACACCATGAGGAGGAGGCGAGCGGCCGAGCTATTTATTTTGTGTTCACATCAAACTCTTCTCTTTATCCAAGATCATAATGAGTACAGGATATATTTAGGAATCTATAATCACATTAACATTATTTAGGCATTCAAACCAGTCCAATTTGGTCTCTTTTTTTGCCAGTTTACCCCAATAGGAAGGGAAGCACTATATCAAATAGTTTAAGGGTACACATTTTCGTTTTCCGTCTACAGATTGAATGTATTTGTGATATACTTCACCATGCAATGTGAACCAAGCTGGGTACTGTCAATAGAAGAGTAGTATAGCCGTGGACAAGCTGGGAGTACTGTGTAAATGAAGAGTTTCTGAAACTGGTCCTGTTGGAAGCAATGATTCCCAGCTCCAGAAACCAGTTAAATCAGGGTTTTGAACAAGGGAGCAGAAGACATATCCATAGCACCATGGCAGCCACGCTCCTGTACAACAGTTAGTGAATATTACTGGAAGCCCATGAAGATAGTTCAGTAAGCTGTCCTTGGGAAAAAAACAAGTGTACTTTTAAATGAAATGAAGTGATCGTAGCATCACAGTTTAATATGGAATCAGGTGAGAACCTTTGAGGCGTTGCTTGTCCGAAGACTGATTATACACAAACATGTTTCAGCTGTGAGTCTCTTTGTATTATCTAGCAGGCGCCACCTTCTCCCTGGCGTTCAGCTTCCCCTTGGTGGTTGGTTTCGGCCTGGTTCTGGCGGGCACGGTGCCGGAGGAGGAGGTCTGTCCGGTGGTGTCCTGCGAGGCGCTGCGCCGCATGGTGGTTGTAGTCCTGGGCGGGAGCACGGGGACGGTCGGGGCTCGAACCGAGAGGGGCTGCCTGGACGGACAAACTCTCTGAGGGGACGGGCTGTCAGTCCTGCAGTGGTTTGAGCTAAGGCTGCGTCGGGTGCCGAACAGGACTCGAAGCGGCATCCGAGGGCTGCCTGAGGTTCCTGCAGACGGACGGGGACACAAGGAGGACGACCTGGGCGACATGGGTTTAGATTTCCGTTGAGTGCTGAGAGTGCTTAGTCCAATTTTCTGATTCCTGTGGAGATACAGTAAGAGAACATTGAACAGGGTATTTCATTAAGGTGTATTCAGATTCAGATCACTTGACCTATTACTATGACTATTGTCCATTCAATTGACATATAATGGAAATGTGTCTTTGGCACTGGAAATAGGATAAAATAAACCTCTAACAATACAACATACAATTCATGCACACAAAAAGAGGTACAATTGCATCTCAAAGTGACTAAGTGTCTGTCTTAATAAAAGTGCAGAGTGGTTTGTTCTTCCACTGGCTTGGGTCCATTAAAAATATCAGTTGTATTAAAAACTATTAATTTACAATACATTACTACTGGCCAACTTGAGATTTTGTTCCTTACAACCTACAGAAAAATGTAATCAAAACTTGTATCAACTAAGAGGGAAGACCAGAATCATACCCGTTAGTGAAGGACGCTGCTCCTTTGATAGAGCTGGAGTCTGGTAGGGAGAGAGGAGAAGGAGCAGCGAGGCCAACAGCTGACGGCCTCTTTATGGGGGTAACAGGTCTGGGGATCCTGCTCCTGCACTCCTTGGAGCCTTGCTCTTCAGTCGTTTTGAGACGGGAGCTCCTCTTGGACTCGTCCGAGGTATGCGTGTCTTCCTCTGAGCCGGCGGTGGACAGAGTCTCCGAAACCCTCCGACGCTCATCGTCCCCGGAGGACAAGGACGAGGACGTCCCGGATAGCATCCTCCTCCTCATCCAGCGACCCTGTTGCTTCTGGACCAGAATTCGGGCTAAGTCCAGCTGCCGGGCTCTCTGCTGCAGCCGAGCCCGAGCTGAGAGGGAGGAGGACTGCTCTGAGCCTGAGTCCTCTTCCGATACAAGTATTGGGATTCGGCTTCGGATTCTGGGTTTTGTGGCGGGCGGGAGTTCTGATCCGGTTGACGGAAGCTTGGCATCGTCTTCACTGGACAATGGCTGTTTCTGAGGCTCCTGTGGTAGATCTGCAAGAGATAGAGACATGGCTTCTGGGACCGGTTCCAAAGACTGGGCCGGGATTGTCAACGGACCATTATCAGTGTTGCGTTGTTTGTCAACCGGTGCAGATTGTTCTGGCACAGCCTCATCCAGAAGCTCTTCTGTCATAGGTGCTCCCTCTTGCTCATCCTCTATGGCCGATGCCTTCATGATAGCCAAGACTTCCCGGTCACTTTCCTTGGAAGAGTGACCATTGGAAGACATGACATTGAGGTGTGATGTCTCTGCAATATGGATGAAAGTGCGCTCGACTTTGGTGAAGGGCGGCGATGCAGGAGCGATGGGAGTGGAAGGCCTTAAGTCTGACCTGAGAGCAGGCGACAAGCGTCCGGTCTCGGAGGGTTCGGGCTGAATCGCCTCCCCGACAATGAGGCGGTCGGCACTGAGAGCACACGGTGTGGCCAGCTCTCCCTCCAGAGCATGATCACACCCAGAGGGAGACTTACGAGTGTCTCCGGGAGAGAAGAGGACCAGGGTTTTGGAAGCGTCCTCCATGTCAGGGTCAGCATCGGCGGCCGAAGCGTGCTCCCTTTGGCCCCTCTGGTCCTCGGCCATAAGTGTCGAAGGCGCGGCATCCTGGCTTCGCTCAGTGCTCTTCTGACTGGCCTCGCTGTTCGACTCACTCTTTGTGACGTCGTCATCCTTTGGCCCAGGAGTTTCTTCGACTTCCTCTTCTGGCGTGGCAAAGCTCCGGCGCTGAGGCAAAGTACCGGTGAGAATAACGGTGAGGAAGTCTGCCCTCTTGACCTGGAGCTGAGGAAGGATGTGGAAATGCTCCTTCTCGTCGTTCTGGCTCTTCGTCCGATAGTCTGGGGAAGTCGGAGATGGGATGCTCTGCTCCGTGGGTGACAACACCTGGAAACAAAACAACAACATTCTTTATTAAAACTTAATCTAGTAAAAACAACACATCATGTTGGAGAGAGATCACTCATGAATTCCTAACACCTTTAAGCAGCTTAAAGTCATGTGTTACCAGTGAAACCATATGAGTTGTGTAATAAAAACATGCTTCCAAATGTGTGCACAATCACACACACAATGTCTTAGCACATCTGTAGGCTAGGAGCAATGACTCAGGAAGACTAGACCAATATATTCAACCAAAAAAACACTGCCTCTGCACTCTCTCTGCTAATAGGGGACATAGATTGGGGATAGCTAGGTTAACAAAGGATATGAATGTTGGTCATTTGGAAAACAAAGGGGATGGCACACCCCTTACATCTCTGTTTGTTTTGTTAACAACAGTGTGTTGAGGTCAGAAAATCACAGAGTCGTGCAATGACCAACCGCATGCTAGTTAGCTTGCTAGCTCTTAGCTCGCCATGCAGTGAGGGAGAGAACGACGACGTCCCATGCTGGGATTCAAATCAGAATCCCAGCATTGTCATTCATTTGTTGCTACTTCTTCTTCTATTAGTACACACATTAATTTATTTTGATGTCACAATCATTAAGCAAATAAAAGTGTGTAGCAATCTTCCTTGCTAACTGTTATTTTCCATGTAAGAAAGACAGCAACAATGATGTATTTCCCCCCAAAACCATTTTAATGTCATTTTGGTTGTACACAAGCTTTTCAAGATTGTCTAGATTACATACATTGATATAAAAGGCACAAAAAAATGCATTGCAGAGTTTATCATTAGACAGCACGCAGTCTGATAACAGGTGATTTTCAAGTGTTTCCCTTCATAAAGATTTAACATACAGCCTGTACATACATACTAAACCCCGCTAATTATCATGCTATTAGAGATTAACTGCAAACCTAATTACTTTCTACATTTCTGTATATATGTACACAGTTATCATTTGGATTTACAAAAAGTTTAAAATACATGCTTTACCTGTAAATTATACAAGCAGAACTGTACAATCATACAGTAAAGTGATAGAAAAGAAACGCCTATATGTACTGTACAAGTGAAAGACACTCACGGATCATCACACTGAAAACACTGTGAGCTCTTCAGTCCACTTTAACACAACAACAGAAACTCTGCTGTTATTGCAAAAACTTTAAAAGAAACATTCAGATATTTGTTTTGTTTTTGTCGTTCAAAGGGTCACATAAACCCAGCGAACTACTGGATGGATTGCTAACTAGCTTGATAGCTAGCTCCCTGTACAGGTAGTAGCTAGGCTAGCAGTTTCCCCCTGCTTCCAGTCTTTGTGCTAAGCTAGGCTAAACACATTCTGAATATCCGGAAATAACTACTTATTTCAGACTGAGTAGGATTTATTAAAATATCTGAATGTTCCTTTGAGAATCAACTATTAGTGACACACAAGTTTCATACTGATCTTATAAACAAACGGTTGAACGCGTTGAACTAAACATGGAGACGAGCTTTCACCTCTAAAGACGCAATGTGGTTGTGTTCTCTCTATAGACACATATCTGTACAATATCACCCTGTTATTCCATAAAGATCAGAACTATCATATCAAATATGCAATAAAATGGATGTGTACGAGGAGCAAAATACAGTGTGTGATTCATGAGGTATAAATGTTTTGTGGCTGACTCGATCCACACTCATCCATGCTTAGTTTTCAGGAGAGTCTCCGGACATAAAGGCTTCAAAATCACAGAGTTGTTCATGTGATGAAAATGTTTTTTAGCATTTGATAAAACATTCAAAATGTTGATTTTTAAGGGGCTAATTCATAGTTTGACCACGGAGCATTACTACTGTTGTCGATCACATCTAAACTCTACTAAATATCAGGAATTTGGTAATCAAGTTAGAGTTTAATAATTGATTTAGCTTGAATCAACTGATACCAAATAAACATATATTTTTCACATTGTAACATAAGGATAAGTGGACACGACTTTCCAAACAAGATTACATTTGACGTGTTCTTTCAGCCATAAAAGGCATATTTTTCGTTAATTTATTTAAACTTTGCACTCCTTAAAATTATTAATAGGTGTCCTTATACAAGAGAATGCTAAATATTTAACAGCAGTTTGACAGCCTTTAGGAACACTTTTCTTAAAGAGTGTACTACTAGCTTTAAGTATTTTTGACTTGCACTACACAGGTTTGTTCTGAGATATTTATTAATCAGAGTTTTTCTGTTGCAAAGTTTAACCTTTTTAATGGATTGTTATCCTGCAAAGATGCTAGGCCAACAGGCCAGAATCTAGCTCTCCAAAATGTGCATACTTTAAACGGTGTATTATTTAAGGAAGATATTTAAAGTTCACATTGGTTGTAAAACTGTGTCTCTGCAGTGAAGTTGTAGAATCTGATCCCATTAAGAATTATGTTAAAATCAGCAAAAATGTGAAGTAAAATGTGTTTTTACATTTTATGGGTAGACTCAAACGGCCACATATTGAGAGGAGTCCAAGATGTTTCAGCAGCATCATGCAGCATGACTTCCTCCACTAACAATATATGTAAATGTTCACATCTCACAGCATAGTTAAAGATGTGATGATAAGAAAAGGCTCTTGCTGCTAGTCAGCTCCGGACTCCACAGCTCCGATCCGTGAGTATCTCCTTTAGTAGCGGTGTGAATTATTTACAAAAAAAATCACAGACGTTTTTCAGTCAGAGGTGTATATTCACTGGGTTTTAGTTGTAATTACAATACAGTGTTGTTTTTAGTCATTTTACAGTCAGAGGTGAGTGTCGTACAAACAGTAGATCTCATGCAAAGAGTGGTGACAGTCGGTAAACAGTCTCTTGGTACGACACACCGTCTTTAACGCTGTAGATCTTTTTTTATTAAAGTGTATCGTCAGCATAAGCACACTCAAAGCCTTCTGTTTCTAACTGAATGTGGCACTGCGCTCATTGTGACACAGGACAAAACATTGACATGTATCAGTGACAATCTTGTACGGTAGGTGAATCATTTTGCAGACGTGCAAAATAAAGTTAGCAGCTAGTCCACTTCATACATTCTCTAAGTGGTTGTACTGTAACGATATGCTAAATATAAAACAGGCAGGACATCCTGAACTCAGCATGAAGCAGCATTAAATCAAACTCAAGTTTCTCCCCATCAGACCGGAGCCTCGGCACAGAGGGACATGCTCAGGCTGAGCAAATGTAAATGCCTCAAGCTCAATGAAACAGCAAGTGGTGCATATTTACTTAATGTAGCCCTTAAACACATTGAGAAAGCAACCGA